ATCGTAGACTTCATTGACCAGGTGAACCCCTGCCTCGGAGGTAGTACCTGCTGGGGCCATGCTCGCCTGGTATTCCCTACCCCACACGTCTCCGCCCACCTTCACTCCTTCCAAAAATGGTTCCAGCTTATCTACGCTGTCCTGGTAATCTAGGGGCTCTACTGGGGAGGGGCCCATAGCTGGTGGCTCTACTGGTAATTGCTGGTGTTTTCTGGTCACTCTTACATCGATACTGTGAGTGCCCTGCCTAAGTTGGAAGTAAGCCGCCTTGTACGGTTTGCCGGGGGGGGGGGGGGGGCCAGGTCCACTTCGCATTTCTCAATAACATGTGACAAGAGGTTGCTGATGAGGAAATAGTCAGTTATGGACGAGCACTCTCCAGATACATATGTGTGCATGGCAACATCTGATTGGCAGCGCATGTCCAGCTTGTCCACTGCAACATGGTCGAAGCTCCTGGCGAAGGGAATGTTCCAATCCTCACCCAAAATGCTTGCTATTCCATGATGCAGTGTGAGATTCAAGCTTACGAATACATCGCATATTGGTGGGGCCTACCCCACCCCTTGATAACCAGTTGATGCTGTGCGGGGAGAGGATGCCGTAGGCGTTCGTGCGCAGAAAGCACTGCGCAGCCCGACCTTCTACCTGGAACTGCTCCTGCCCGTGTCCATTCCAAGCGTCCAAGTAAGTGTTTCCTCGCCAAGATCATGGGCCCTCCCGATGGATTATTGCGGGGTCGTGGGACGGCTCCTGGACTGAAAATGTTCCAGCCTTTCTTGCGCAGGGAGCTTTCTACTGCTTGGAGCTTATCAGGAAATATCTGGTGCTCCTGGAGAAAGATGACGTCTGCCTCTATGCCGCTGATGAGAGGCTCCCCTGACTTCCAGGCGTTGAGGTTCAGGGTGACGAACCGAAGAGGGGCCCTTTTGGGCTTGGCCCCATCGCATCCCCTTCTTGGGCTTCTTGGGGCTCTGGGAGGCCTTCTGGCCTTCGTTCGGAACAAGATGTTGAAGATGCCTCCATAGGCGCCTCGGGTTCAACCGGCTTGCCCGGAGCCGCCCGCGCTGGCCAGCCCGAAAAAAATCCATGATGGTTGTTTCTGGTGTCCTTTTCTGTGCCCTTAGCTTGTCCTCAGAGGAGGACACTTGGGCTTTGAGCGTCTTACCGCGTCCTCGGACAATCTTGACAGTTTCAAGAACTTCATCCTTGTTTCCCGAGCAAACCACTTTGAACGATTCGGTTTCCTGGAGTTTGCCAATGGGGCCGCCGAGGTCAAGCTCTGATTGATGTTCGCTTAGAACTGCCCTTCCCCGTAATCTTCTTACCCTTGCCCCTGCCTCCCTTCTTACTTCCTTTACCTCTGGCAGGTTCTGCGGGTGGAAACTCATCAAGGGCACGATCATGCCATCCATCCTGATCTGAGGATAATGTGACGGCTTGTTGGTCGACTGGCATGGCGAACCCTGGCCTACAGGCCTCTTCCTCTCCATGCTCACTATGCTCACTGCGCTCCTTAAGCTTCTCATTCCATCGCTGATAGAGATCATCGCGAACGTAAAGTGGGAGCCCTTCAGCAAATCTGTTCCAGGCGCCCATCTTCTATATGTGTCTTTGTCCCTGGGATCCTGAGTCCCCCGAGAGGCTTCCGTTTCCTCACGAAGGTCTCCGATTTTAGCTTCGATTTCAGATATTTGCTCCTGGAGGTGGGTTTGTGTTTAGCTTTCACTGCTTCCAGAACTTGATCACAGGTCTGCATTTCTCCCAATCTAGATTCCGACTGGGCCCCTTTTGTTCGAAGCTTCTTTTCCTTCCGTTGGATGACCTGAGATCTTGGGAGCTGGGAAGCGTTGGTCTGCTTGATCGATTCGTAGAGGGCCTCGATATTCGGGACCAACTCTTGAGGGATATCGCTATTTGGGGGAGTCCGTGGACAGACTGAGGACAAGATGTCCTATAGGCTTCTTTGGTCGTCATTCTCCTCCCTGCTCCCATGCAGTCTCTGCCAAACCCTTCCAAATGGATTGCCGTAGCCGTAGTTATGCGGGTTCTGGTTGGACAGGTAGTTCCGGCCTGGCATGCCTGAAGCGCCTCGGCCTCCTCCTTGTTTACCTCCTTTGCTTCCTCCCAAAAAGGTTCCTTTCGGCCCACCGTTGGAGAATCTTCTGCCATTCCCCAAGCATTTGCCGCCCTGAGGCGGTGGTGGGGGAATCAGGAGTTGGGGCACAGCATTTGGATGCCCCCATTCCCATAGGTCAGCCTTGCAATTATAGCAAGAATGATACAAAGGAGGATTATTCTTATTGCGGCACGCGCCACATGTGACACCAGTGATCTGGAAGCCATGTTTATACATTGCCTGCCCGCCGCGGTGGGGAGCTGATATGGGCCGATCGCAGCCGGCAGCGTGGTGGAAGCTTGCTGTGGGCAGCCCGCCTCGAGCCAGCCCCTTGGCTGCGTCCAAGCACAGCCGCAGGGCACGGTTTCGGGCTTGAGCCATCATGGCCACGGAGCTGTCTCCTCCCCATCTTCCTCGTCCTCGTCCTCCTCCTCGTCCTCCTCCTCCTTCCCGTCCTCCTCTCCATCCTCCTTCTCCCTCTCATCCTCCTCCCTTTCTTCTTCCTCCCCCTCCCTCTCCTCCTCCTCTTTCCCGTCCGTCTCTACCTCCTCCGCCTCCTCCTCCTCCTCCTCTCCTTCGTCATCGTCCTCCTCCTCCTGGTCCTCCTCCTCCTCCTCCTCTGCCTCCTCGTCCTGGTCCTCCTCCTCCTCGTCCTCCTTCTCCTTCCCGTCCTTTTCCTCCTGCTCCTCCTCCTCCTCCTCCCTCTCACTCTCCTCCTCCTCCTTCTCCTCCGCCTCCATTTCCTCGTCCTCCTCATCCTCCTTCCCGTCCTCCTCCTCCTCCTCCTCCTCCTCCTCCTCCTCCTCTCTCACTCTCCTCCTCCTTCTACTCTTCATCCGCCTCGTCGCCCTCCTCGTCCTCGTCCGCCTCCGCCTCCTCCTCCTCCTCTTCCCCCCCCTCCCTCGCCATCTCCTCCTCCTCCTCCTCCTCCTCCTCCTCGTACTCGTCCTCGTGCTCTTGCTCGTGCTCGTCCTCCTCTTCGTCCTCCTCATACCCTACTCCTCCGCCTCTTCCTTCTCCTCCTCCTCCTCTTTCTCCTCCTCCTCCTCCTCTTCCTCCTCCTCCTCCTCCTCCTCCTCCTCCTCCTCCTCCCCCTCCTCCGCCTCCTCCTCCTCCTCGTCCCCCTTCTCCTAGTTACTCCTCTTCAGTCTCCTCCTCGTCCTCCTCATCATCAGCATCATCATCGTCATCATCATCATCAGCAGCAGCATCAGCAGCAGCATCATCATCGTCCTCCTCATCCTCCTCATCCTCCTCCTCCTCGTATCCCTGTCCGTTCTCCTATTACTTCGCCTCCTCCTCCTCCTCCTTCCCATCCTCCTCCCTCTTTTTTTACCTGAACAAATCCTCTTCCCTCTCTTCCTGCTCCTCCTCATCCTTCTCCTCCTCCTCCTCCGTCTCCTCCTCCTCCTCATCCTCTTCCTCCGCTTCCTCCTCCTCCTCCTCGTCCTCCCTCCTCATCCTCTTCCTCCTCCTCACTATCAGTGTTCTCCTCCTCCTCATCCTCCTTCTCCTCCCCCTCATCCTCCTCGTCCTCCTCCTCATCTTTCTCCTCGTCCTCCTTTTTCCTTTTCCTCATTATTTTGTTTCGCCTCCTTCCCTTCTTCCTCTTCCTTCGTCTCCTCCTCCTCCTCCTCCATCTTATTCTCTGCCTTCTTCTCGTATTCCTCCTCCTCGTCCTCCTCCTCCTCCTCCTCGTCCTCGTCCTCTGTCTCCTTCTCCTCCTCCACCTCATCGTTATCCTCCTCCTCTTCCTCTTCCTCATCATCATCATCATCATCATCATCATCATCATCATCATCATCATCATCATCATCATCATCACCATCATCTTCATCATCATCCTGCTCTTCCTCGTCCTCGTCCTCCTCTTCGTCCTCCTCCTTCCCTTTCTCCAGGTCCTCCTCCTCATCATCATAATCCTACTCCTCTCCAGCCTCCTTCTCCTCCTCATCATCCTCCTCCCCATCATCATCATCATCAGCATCACCACCATCAGCATCATCATCATCCTCATCATCATCATCAGCATCATTATCAGCATCATCATCAACATCAAGATTATCATCATCATCATCATCATCACCATCAGCAGCAACAGCAGCATCATCATCAGCATCAGCATCCGCATCATCATCAGCAGCAGCATCAGCATCATCATCAGCAGCAGCATGATCATCATTTCATCATCCTCCTATTTCTTCCCGTTTCCCTATTCCTTCGCTTCCTATTGTTTCTCCTCCTCCTCGTCCTCGTCCTCATCCTCCTCATGATCAACCGTCTTCTCATTCCTCCTCATCATCATCCTCCTCTTCCTCGTCCTTGTCCTCACCCTCGTCCTCCTCCTCCTTCTCCTTCCCTTCCTCCTCCTTCTCCTCCTCCTCCTGCTCGTCCTCCTCCTCGTCAGCCTTCTCCTCCTCCTCCTCCTCCACCTCCTCATCCTTCCCTTCCTCCTCTTGCTCCTCCTCCTCCTCCTCCTCCTCCTTCCTCTCCTTCTCCTCCTTCTCCTCCTCATCCTCATCCTTCCCTTCCTCCTCTTGCTCCTCCTCCTCCCTCTCCTTATCCTCCTCCTTCTCCTCCTTCTCCTCCTCCTACTTCTCATCCTCGTCCTCCTCCTCGTCCACCTCCTCATCCTCCTCTACCTCCTCCTCCTCGTCCTCCTCTTCCTCGTCCTTATCATCCTCCTCGTCCTCCTCCTCAGTTTCCTCGTGACCACCCTCATTCCCCTATCCCTCATCCGACTCCTCGTCGTCCTCCTTCGACCACGGCGACAGATCTTGGCTGCGGCGACGACGACGACGACGACGACGACGACGAGGATGAACTACAACCCGCCGCGGCCGCGGCGCCTGGGGCGGCCCCTTCCGCGCTGGCAGCCCAGGCCCTGCCGCGTCGCCGGTCGTGTTCGCCACGCCCAGCGCTGGCCCGGAGCGGTCGCGCGAGCCGTTGCCGTCGCCGTGGTCGGTGCCGCCCGCCGCCGTCGTCGCACTTTTTGCCATATTCGCCGTCGTCGTCGTCGTCGTCGCCGTCGTCGTCGCACTTTTCGCCATATTCGCCGTCGTCGTCTTCAGCGTCGTCGGCGTCGTCGTCGTCGTTCTCGCCCTCGCCGTCGTCGCAGTCTTCGTCGTTTTCACCGTCGTCGTCATCGGAGGTGGACGAGGACGCGGAGGAGGTGGAGAGGAGGGGGGGGTGAGGAGGGCATCAGGGGGATGGTAATCACCAAACCGAGAATGCCAGCCCATCACAAGAACGCAGCGCGCGTCACAGAACGAATGGGCCCCTCTCCAGCACACGCAGTTCAGTTACCAGAACGAGGGTTTTTTTCACCAGCACGGTAAGGTCTGTCACTAGAACACGGGCGGTCACGTCTCGGAACGGTAACTTGGGGGGCGGGGGGGATGTAGGAGGGCAAGGTGTTCCAGAGCGGCGGCCCTTCGGAATCTTGCTCCCTGGGCCCGTTCCTTCGAATGATTCCCCTGGACCCTGGGGTGTCACCGATGGGTATGGGGGATGGTGTTTTGATCCTTGGTAGTAACCAACTACCACTGATAATAACACCCTGGGGATAGCAAAGTTCGGGGTCCTGGGAGGATAATAAACGATTTGCCCAGGCAAGTCGCACGTGGGATGTATGACGAGGAAAGAGGAGGTCGGCCTCATCGTCGTTCGAAGACCGCGACGACGGCGACGACGACGACCTAACCCTGCCATAGGTTCGTGATGTCGGCAAGCTGCAATGATGATAGTCCCAAAACAGTACCACACGTTCGTGACTTCGGAAAGTTGCAATGATCAGACTCGCACGTAACACATATCACAAGGTGACTGGGGAAAGCTGGAATGGTGAGAATCCCATGGCATTGCCACACGTTCTCGATGATGCTGCTGTTCAACATAAGAGGATAGCAATTTCGAACCGTAATTGTCCCCGCGAAAACAAAGTTCGGTCTTGCCGCCCCTCTCCCCCGACCAACTCTGTCTTGGCCGGAGATCATCAACTCTCAATCGGGAAGGGGGGGGTGACTTATTATCCGGGGCATGCGGTTATTCGGGCGTTTGTGATGGGGGTTCTCAGAGGTTTCTTCGGCGTCTTAGGGTGTCGTCCTGACGGAGTTCCTGAGGGTTCTTATCTTGCTCTTGGGGGTGTAGAGGGTTTCTCGGGCGTCTTGCAGGGTCCTGAGGTTTTGCAGGGTCCCGCACGGTCCATGGGGGTCGTAGGAGGTCCTGGTGGGCGCTGGGGGTCTTGGGGGCTCTTTGGGGTTTTGCGGAGCCTTGCTGGGTCCTGGGGGTCTTGGGGGTCCTACGAGGTTTTGGTGGTCATGCGTGGTCCTGGGTGTCCTGGGGTGTCCCAGGTGGTCCAGGAGAGTCCTGGGGCGTCCTTGGGCCTGCGGGGTTTTGCATGGTCGGGGGGGGTCCCGATGGGGGTCCTGCTGCGGCAGCTGGCTGGGTTCTGCGGGCTCTTGAGAGCTTTTGTGGTGTATTGGGCGATATTTGTGGGTCTTCGGGAGTCCTGCGGAGTCCTGCAGAGTCCTGGGCGGTCCTGTGGGTTTCTGGGGGGTCTTGGGGGGCCATGCTGGGCCTTGCGATGTCCTGGGGGTCCTGGAGGGTCACGGGGTCTTGGGATGTTCCGCAGTGTTCTTATGGGGCTTAGGTGGCCCTGGCGCGTTCTGTGCGGGGGTGAGGTTTCCGAAGGAGGTCCGCAGGTGCTGCAGGGTCCCTGGGGTTTCTGTCGGGGCTGACTGGGTCCTGAAGGGTTGTGCGGGGGCCTGCGGGGTCTTGGAGGTCCCTGGGGTCCAGGGGAGTTCTGGAGGGTTCTCGGGGTCCCGGGGGGTTCTCGGGGTCCCACGGGGGTCTGTGGGGATTGTGGGGGACTCTGCGGGTCCTGGGGGGTGCCGTCTGTGTTTTGCATGGTGGATGATGTCCTGCGGGGTCTGCGGCCGTCCTGTGGGGTCCTGGGGGGTCCTGGGGGGTCTTGGATGGAGGGAAACCGCGACCCAAGGAAACGGCCTCAAACCAGGAAGCGGAGGCGCGAACCCAGGAACACGCAAAACACCACCCATGGAAACCAGGGACGCGCGAACTCGGGAACACGGACGCGCCAAATCCCCGAAACGGTGAAGGCCTGAGCTGCCCTTGCTCCTGCCGGGATGGGGGCGTCGGATCTGGAGTACCCTTCTCCTCGGCTGCCCGAGCCGACCGTGCTCCTCCTGAGCGTTCTGCTCCCGCCCGCCTGACCCGACCCGCTCGCGAGGGTCCGCCCGCCAGACCCCATCCACCCGTTAGGATCCGCCCGCCTGACCCGACCCGACCCACGCGTTAGGACTGCGCGGTCGATGGCGCGCCCTGTGTTAGTGTTACGCCCGCTCGCCCCCACCCTCCCGTTGGGGTCCGCCTGCCCGGCCCGGCCGGCCAGTTAGGGTCCGCCCGCTCGGCCCGACCCACCCGTCAGGGCTCATGCGCGCTTAGTCGATGGTGCGCCTTATTTGAAGTTCCCGCCCGCACGACCCGCCCCGCCTGTTAAGGTCCGCCCACCAGACCCGACCCGCCCGTTGGGGTCCGCCCACCCGATCCGGTCCGCCCATTGATGTCCGCCCGCCAGACCCGACCCGCCCGTTAGGGCCCACTCGCCCGACCCGACCCAACCCGCCCGTCAAGTTTCACGAGTGCTTGGTCGATGGTGCGCCCTAGTTTCATGTCCTGCCCGACCCGACCCGCCCGTGAAGATCCGCCCGCCCGATCCTGGGTCCGCCCGCCCGACTTGGGGTCCGCCCGCCCGACCCGACCCGGCCTGCCCGTTAGGGCTCACGGATGTCCTGCCAACGGTGTTGTTATTTCATTGTTCCGCCCGCCAGACCCGACCCGCCCCCGCCCGTCAGGGTCCGCGCAGAGCGGAGTTGGAGGAGGAGGAGGAGGAGGAGGAGGACTAGGAGGAGTTGGAGGAAGAGGAGGAGCAGGAGGAGGAGGAGGAGCCATTTTGGCTCAAGGCCATTGCCCGAAGCCACCCTCTGTCGGTCGGTGAGGGTGTACTCGGTGAGGGCTCGAGTGCCCCACAGCGAAGGGGAGCGCCCCCTTTCCTGGCAGGAGTGCCAGGGTACTGCCACATCCACTGCAGTACCACTTTCTTGTTCTCTCTCCGCCAGCATTTTGCTGGCCGCGATGCCCGATGGAAAGGCTCAGAAGAGGGGGCTGGTGGAGACTCCTCCTCGTGCTGCTGACCCTGGGGCTGGTGCCGCTGACGACGGAGAACAGCGCCCACGTCACCAGCGCCCTCGGGTGGAAGGAGGACTGTCTCTCGAGTCTCTCAAGGACTACGTCGACGAGGCCAAGGAGGAGATGCTGGAGGCGATCGCCAAGCTGGAAGCACAGCAGTCGGCTGCTGCGCAGGGGACGACGGCATTGGCGAGAACAGTCGCATCTTCATGCGAGTCGATCTCCAAGCGGCGTGAAGTTCGCCTCGCCAAAGTCGAGCGGGACATCGGGGACTCCAACACCCGCATCAAGAAGTTGGAGGATCAGGTACACTATCTCATGGAAGTATTGGGAGAAGTACGGAGTGGAGTGGCACAGAAGCCTGAGGACGTCGTCACGCCTGGCTTCGCGAGGGAGGTGGATCACACCATCATCATTATTCGGTCCAAAGGTGCACTGGCGCGTGCCACAGCACTGGCAGCGCTGGGGAGTTGGCTTTGTCGGAGCAACCTCAAGGAGGAGGATTACGAGCTGCAGGGGGAGCCGATCGCAAAAAGGTTCGTACTACAAATGCGTGGGAATGGTGCATATGCTAGCCGACGGGTTAGACAAGCACTTGGAGCTCTTCGGAAGGCCGATGGCTCGTGGGAAAGGTTCAGTGGCCGTGACATGGCCGGAGTGGAGTTTGAGATTTTCGTGGCGGGCGACAAGAACCCCAGCCAGATCAAGAAGGAGTTGGCGGTCAAGACGATCAAAAAGCGGCTCACCGAGATGGCGCCGCAGCACCGGTTCTATGCCGACAAGGAGAAAGGCGAGATCAGCTCTTCATGGAAGCCCCTGGTGGCGATTACGCCGCAGCCAGGAGATGCACCACCTATCATCAAGTACTGCGTTGAGAACCTGCAGAACATCGGCATCCAGAAGGACGACCTCGAGGCTGTGCTGCTCAGGGACTTCCGCGCCCCGTCGGAGGCGACATGGAGTCTTTGACGCTGTATTCGGGGCTTGGTGCAGCCCCAGTGGGAAGCTTTGGCCGCTTCGGTTGGTTTCCTGGAATTGCCGCGCCCTCTTCCACCACAAAGTTTTGGTTCGCTCTAAAAAGCTTCGGTGTTTATCGAGATATATTGAGGATGGAAGTGTTACGGCACTTCAAGAAACTCATGGGAGGCTCGCAGAGCTTCAGGATTTTGCGTATCACGCCAGGCTGGATGTCTCTGTGCACCACTCTTTTTGGGAAGGGTCGAATGCTGGAGGCGCGGTCGCACTTGTGCCTCGGTTTCGACACCTGGGCGCGAACACTCCCGCGGTCACCAGTGAAGCGTTGATCAGAGGGGGGTGCTTTTAACTACCGTATCATTTTCGGCCACTACGTGGATTGCACATTTCAACATACACAATCACAATATTCGTCGGGAGGGAAGGGGCGCTCTATTTCGAAGGATCAACGCTCCACGTGCTGAGGCGGCGGAGTCGCCCGCACAGAGGCTGGTGATCTGGGCTGGGGATTTCAATGTCGGGGCGGAGCCCCCTCGGCGCACATTTGACCACCCAGGGATGACGAATGCCGCATTTAATGACTGGGTGGGCTCTAGAAGGGGACCGTGGGGAAATATATTCAGGGAACTCCTGGAGCTTCAACTGCCTGATCCCACTCACTTCCATCAAGGGGGAACATTTACTTACCTATATTGATAGATGTTTCATATCTAGTCCTGGGTGGGTGATGAATCAGTAATATATCTCT